AATGACTAATTTTACAATTTGTCCACATGGTAAGGAAAATTTAAGTGAATTCCTTAATTAACCAACTTGATGAAAGAATTTAGTTTACAATGGAGGTGGAGGAAGATGAACGACTACCCTTTCTGGATGTTGAAGTAATACGCTCCAAGGGGACTATACGGAAAGAATTAATATGCGGGAATAATCCTTAATTTTCAGTCCCATCATAACTAGAGACTGAAGATCAGAATAGTGAGGAGTTTGATCATCAGAAGTTTACGATTAACGGACAAGGAATTCTGGGACGAGGAGTTAGACAAACTGACACGGATTTGTTTAAGTAATGGATACCCCAGAGAATTTATAGAAAAATGTAGTGGTTATAAAGGGCCGTTTGCAATTTGGATTTTATGAAAATCAGATCAGGAATGAGGATAACCAAAAATGGATCTGCTTGCCCTCATCAGATAACAATGACGACCTTTATTAGGAAAGTTGAATATCAAGGTGATAACAAAGGAAAAGAAAACACTTTTCACTTGTCTGCCGACGCAACACGAGAAGACTGACAAACTTGAATGCTCAGGAGTTTATCGCATCAAATATGGCAACTGTGAGCAGAAATATATCGGTGAAATAGGAAGAAAAATTGACCTACGAATCAAGGAACATCAAAGACTCTGTAGGAACATAGATTTACAAAGATCAGAAATAGCGAAACACATTTCACGGACGGGGCATCAAATCCACTGTAAATCAGTCAAGAATTCATTTGAATCTGTTAGATTGATTGAACAACAGAATTTCGATCTGGTATCATGTATAATGTATACTGACCTTCCAGTTCAGAGACTATTTAAGCACTTCCACTTTGCATGGATTAACTCCCAGATATCAGTGAGAGAGCAAATCTGTGTAAAAGCTCAATTGTTAAGCTTACTTCCATTTCGAGTGGAAGTGTTGGGTGAAGAGATTTGATCTTCCGTGTCATCAGGAGCCGACGGCACATTCCTCTAACATTACATTAATAAAGAATAGCTTTTCGAATGATGAATACGTAAGGAGAGATAAGGAGACCTTTTCTCATGTTTTGTCTTTACCCTCGGGCGTTCTCTCTAAAAAGATAGGTGAGCAAGTAAGGAAGTGGGGAATAAAAACGGTCTTCAGGTAAAGTACGACACTTTCTTCAGTCATGCCAACTTTTAGAGAGAAAGTTGACCCATTATCCAGATCGGGCTGCTACAAAATAATGTGTTCACGTGGTCGCTTTTATGTGTAGAAACTTGTCGTCCCATTCGACAAAGAGTGGCTGCAAAGAATGTTGGGTTCAAAAATCGAAGCTTGCTGAGCACAGGGCAGAAACGGGACGCGAGATTGAATGGTCTCAAACTTGTCTATTTGCTGATTGTGGTATGTTTGCGGCTAAACGTAAAACTAGAGAAGCCATAGAAATAAACAGAATAGGAAATACATTGAATGTAAGGAATACCGGCAAGAAGATAGGTAAAAACTATTTGTGCTTAATCGGTAGATTGAAGGATAGAGAGGGAGTTGAGCCGCCTGCAAAAAGGAGGCGACGCAACTAGTCTTCTCTTATTTTTGGTTCTAATGATAGTCAATTTTCTGTCCTGTTAGCTCACTGTTTCTCTCTCCTATTAAAACCAAAAAAAAATAGGCTCATCAACAAAACCAGACGTGTCCGACTATGCGCAATCGGGGTGATGGTTATAACTTAAATGTAGAAAGGGGGAGATCGAAGTCATCAAACCTAGATGACAAAAAACAGACGTTCCTTTTTGCTGTCCATCTCTTCGGGTTTCGTGCATAAGCGAACACTAACATGCACATACAAATACAGATAGAGACACACTCACATGCATAGAAGTTGACATATGACCTTAACTAACCAAATCACCTTATACTCGATCAAAT